AAACGGCTATCGAATATCACTCCTAAATCCTTGATTCGACTAAGCTGAGCCAATTTATATACTCTATCAATACAATCAATTGATACTGTACTTATGCTGTTTTGAACAACTCCGAGTTCTTCTTCTTCTTTAGTCTTCGTCTAGCTGATGTTGTCCAGCTTGGCAATGTGCCGTGGCCTCTGCCCAAGATCATTTTAGAGTAGGGACGCGTCTTATCACATCCTTTACCTTCGTTCTTTTTCCAGCCAGAGTTTTTCTATAGCACGTCGTGTTATGTAAAATCCATATGTCAGAACTGGAACCACTTGTTGGTGGAAAGTTTAGTTTTCAAATCTAGGTAAAGATATTTCAGGTTTTAAGCACGGTGTTAAGCATTCGACTATCACCCCAAGTCATTTCCCACGTGAGTTGGTGTTTCCTCTGTATTGTGAAGCCTTTTTCCTCCTTAGTTGTTTTTAATTCTGTAAACAATCCCTGCTACACTTCTTTCTCTGTCTTTTTAGCAGATCTTTAGAGTCTTCCCTTGGACGTCGATCTCACCCAATTTCTTCCACTTTTCCCTGTTTCAGGCAAATTATTGTCATCTTCTTTTTGCCTTTTTCTCCACATCATCAATCTTTGCAGCGTCTCGTCTTTTCTTCTATGTAGTTAGTCGTGGTTTTCCACTGAGGATACTTTTTTTCTTTCTAGTATTGTCCATCAACTCCACTTTAATTTAGCTTTCCATGGCTATGACATCATCCAGCTTCGCGATTCTGATCTCGGCATTTCTAGTATGATCCTTGAGACTTATTATTCTTTCTATTGCTCTTTGCCTGGTCCTGAGCCTGTTTTTATTGTTAGTGAAGTACCTAGTTTCTATGGCATAAGTCATTACAGGGATGATATTATGTTGGATAATTTGCTCTTCAGATTTATAGAGATTTTTGGATTAGGCGGTCAATTGGATTTTTCTATTGATTTCTGCAGTTTGGTTTAATTTGCCGCAATCTTGATGTTATGCTCTAATTTATTTTATGAAGACATCATCTAAAAGATCACTGGCTTGTCTTGACAATTTCTTTGTAAACTTCTCAGACAGTTCTGTTTCTGCTTTTGCTTCTGTTCTTGATCTGGGCGTTTCTGATTATCTGGATCAACAGATTGAATTTAATGTGGCCACCCCATCCAGAAGTTTTGAACCGAGGAGAAAGGTATGTAGACTAATTACAATGTCAATGAATGTTTTCGAGAGGGCCTGCCTGAGGTCATTCCCTGAGAAAAGTTACTTGGTAAGATCAGAGCAGAATAAGAACATCAGCTGGTTCAATGATAACTTAAGGGCTATGCGTGAGCATCTTAACTTACTTGGCAGTATGAGCAGGCAGTGTGATCATCCGGGATTCTCACAGGAATTTAAAAGGTATAGGACTTTATATAGAAATGCCATTCGAGAGGCTAAGAAAAATGCAAATGACCATCTTATCAATTCCTCTGCTATGCCAACTAGGTGCATGTGGTCTTTAATCAATACGCATAGAAATATATATCTCCAACACATAATGAATAATGTGAAATATCTCTCGATGAATTTAATGCCTATTTTGTCAACATGGCATGGCACACCATCTAATAGAGGATATACCAAAAATCTATGTCTCGAGCAACCATTTTCTTTTCGGAAGGTCACTTTTAATGTGTTAAAGAAATATTTACAGCCTCAAAAGTAAAAATACTACTGGTTTGTGCACCAGACTGCTGAAGTCTGTCATAAATGTAATTGTTATTCCTTTAACCATGCTGATAAATAGTTGCTTTCGTGAGAGTATTTTTCCTAAAGTTCTCAAACATGCATTAATTACACCTCTACACAAAAAAGAAAATCAAAATCTACCTGAAAATTACAGGCCCATTTCTATATTGCCTGCATTATTAAAATTACTGACTTTTTTGGACATGGTAGCCTCTTTACAGATTGTCAGTTTGGTTTCAGGAAGGACAAAAATACCACTTTAAGCATAGTTGATGGTATCCTATGTATTGTAGTCATTTGATGAGATGGAGTATACTGCATCTTTTTTTGCGGCCTAAGTAAGACCTTTGACTGCGTCTCCCATGACATTCTCCTGGGTCCTTATTCTTGAAACAGGGGAGCAGCGCTCCCGGAAAAACGAGTATTCCGTCTTTGTTACCTATATTATTATCATTGAGAAATACGTAACACTCGTTCTCCTGGAAACGCTGCTGTCCTGTTTCAAGAATAAGGACCCTGGGAAAGTTTCGGGCGTACTTTTTTGATCATAATAGCCTAACTTTATTGAGTTTATATGTGTCTGATAGAACCCAGGCACAGAGGGTTGGGTTGGAGGAGTGGAATTGGCCAGGAGTGACAATAATGTTGGGGTCCCACGGAGGTTTATTTTGGGTCCCATTCTTTTCCTAATGTATATCAACGATTTACCTTTATTGGCTAAGTTCACACTTTTAACCGATGACACAACAATCTCCCTCAGGGCACCTACACTTGAGGAAAGGGTCGAGACCTAGTTTGCAATGCCAACTGTCTATATTCTGGTGCGCTTACTTTATCTTAAGAAAAATGAGTACCCCTATGGGCAGTATGTAACCAACTGTAGTGTCCATTCATATGATACTCGACATCAAATGACCTAGTGTCGGAGTATTGTCGAGGAGTATTGTAGACTAAAAAGGTGTCAGGACGGCTCTAGGTACCTAGCCATCAAATTTTTTAAACAACTTTCCAATGCAGTAAGAAACCTACCACCAAGGCAGTTTAAAACTATGATTAGGGAATATTTAATTAAGAAAGCATTCTATAGTTTTGAAAAATATTTTGATTGTGACATGTCTTAATAAATGTTGTTTATTATTCATGTTATTTATCGTTCTTGTTAGTTATTTCTATTCAATGTTTTATTATTACTTCTGCTTGACGTGTGTAAACATTTACTTGTATGGCCACCAATAAATAAATAAATAAATATTTGGTTTTCCCATTTTCAAATGAAGCCCTAATTGGGTTGATCTCACTTGCAATTTCGCTAACATATCTTGCAGTTCTTTTGTGCTAATGAGTAGGTACCTACAATTTGATTCGAAAAGCGGAGGAGGTTGACATATCAGTTCCTCAGAGATTACGGTTTGAACCCATTCTCGCCGATCCTGTTCGTTTTGTTGTTGAGCTTAATCTTCTTGTTGTTATCTTGTGTTGTGAAAGTGCTGCAAAATAATCCTATACTTCTAGTGATCATACCTATCTTCGGACATTCTCTTCTTGTTTATCTTTCTGTCTTCAGGCTCCCTCTTTCTGTATTTCTTTCTGCCTCGGAGTTTCCTCTCCCTCTACGGTATTTCTTTCTATATGTTCTCAAAGTTGCGAGTCTTTGGGTTTTCCCTCAGGGTTTTCCTGCTTAGAGAATTTTGGGGATAGGTATTTTTGAACGTGTCGTCTCAACGTTTTGACGAAAGTAAAAGTTTTTTGCCTTGTTGATATTTGACTTTATTTGAGCTTTTTGTTGTAGATGATCACTGCAAGTATCAAATTTATTTACGACGGTTATTTCTACCACAATGTACCTCCAATTTTTGATAATGTAACCAATCTCATTTTTAACCGATGGGTCTAGACTTCTCCGAGTCCAGTCTTTTTACTCGCTCCTAGGAGAATCTATTCATATCGAAGTATTCATTTTGGAGGTACTTTGATAGTCTTTCTCTTTGTTCCTTTGAGTCGCCAATGCCTGTGCTGGATATCATTTACGTCAGCATTAAAGTCCAACATTTGATTCCTAAATTAGGCATTTTCTTATCTTCGTTCTCGTAAAGTTTCATCATATTCCATCTCCTCATCATCAGCGTTACTTCTAGTCGCGTATATTTTGATTATCTGAATGTTGGATATCTCCATAACAACATTATCACATTACTCTCTCAGATAAATAAATTGTCACTAGATGTTGCAGTCCTTAATGCTTAATAAACCATTATCGCAACTCATCCTAGATGCGTATTCTCCTCTGAGTTGGTTTGGAATACCAGATGCCAGGTTTTCTATATATAATTATCGGTTTATAACGTTCTACGTCTTCCGATTCCCGATCTCCAACCATCTCTGTTAATCCAGGCATCCTCTTCGAAGCCTCTGTCTTTCATTTCCTCGTCTACTCCGCTTCTCCAGCTTCTTCTTGATCTGCCGCGTCTTCTTCTTCCCCCTGGCTTCCACTCAATTATTTGTTTGGGTATTCTTGTATCTGCCACTCTTTGTACATGTCCGAACCAAATCAGCTGTTTGTCCTTTATATCATCTATTATTGTGTGTTTTACGTCCATAATCTCCCTAATTCTCAGATTTGTTATCCTTTCTATTTTTGACCTGCCTGCCGATCTCCTCCAAAAGTCCATTTCAGTTGCTTCTAACATTTTTGCGGTTCTGATCTTTAGTGGCCAGACTTCTGAACTATATGTGACTATGCTTTTGACTATGGTGTTGTATATTCTCGTTTTGTTAGTTTTGTTGATATTTTGATCCCACAGTACACCATTCAGTAGGGATATTGTCTTGCGTCCTTGTATATTCCGATCTTTAATTGCTTCGTCTAGGGTTCCCTCATGTGAGATTTTCATGCCCAAATATTTGTATTTGCCAGGTTTTCTATCTTTCTGAATATGGTATATCATTTGCGAAAACCTATATCTGTTCTAGAGATGTATGGCGACTAAACTTGCAGGATGGTTCATTGGTGATAATTTTGTGAGTAGCTTACATGTGTGTGGAACATTCACTTTCTTCTTCTCATGCTATAATATATTTCCATCGTTTTCAAATTATGAGGAGTATATTTGATGTATTTGTTTATGTGTTATTTCAGTCTCAAATAAATTTCTTTTTGAACGCAACAATATTATAAATGTATGTCGACAACTTTCATTTAACTTAATTTTATTTATGCAACGTTCTTTAAGATTGTAATTCAAATTAAGTTTTTTTTTTTTTCTTCTAGGCACAAAAAAGTAATCATCCACATACCGTACAAAGTCAAAACGATTCACCACACCCACACAGTCTACAAACACGTCGGACATGAGGGAGGAGGTGAAGTCAAGAAAGTCATAGGCTACTCAGGAGATGGCGATGTCAGTTTGGGCGAAGGTCACGAGGTCCAAGGAGACGGAGGTGGCGAAAGCGCTGGAGGTGGTTTCACTGTTGGAGGTGACCACGGATACTGGCACTCAGGTAGTTAGAAGAAGCGGAAATCATCCTAACATCAACTTCTTTTATTTCATCTATCAATTCATTTTCCTTTTGTTTTCCTTGTCCAAATTTGAACGAGACTGATACTGAAAAGAAGCCGTTTGTGATGTCAACAATGTTTCTCTTCATTATAACTCCTAAGCATGCTCCTGTCTATTTAACATCTTAGCTTTGAGGTAATTATGAATGAAAATATAGCCACGCTCACATCAACCATGAAACTAGTTGAATCCAGAATTTTCTTCACTAACACTTCTCAAAAATTAACATGTTATCCATACAAAACACTAAACATTCCAAAACAAAAATATATCTCAAAAATTGCATACTTACCTACATTATTTTAACGTTCTGAGTATGTAATACCTACATATTTTTCTGATCCACGAACAAACCAATTGATATTTGTCGATTTTTTCCCAAAGATCACGTTATCATATAGTGAGAGGCTAAGAAATGACTATCGCTAGATATTATTTGCTTTAGTTTTCAGAGGCAGAATAATCCATGTTCCTCGCGTCGAAGTAAGTCCCAAAAAATTCTACAATCATTCAACCTCTTCACTTACTGTAGATCTCCTCTACCCTCATTCATCTCCCTTCTTTGCTCAAGTTCGCCAAATACCAAGAGCTCTAAGTTTTTGCAGAGAAGTTCGTAAAATCTTTTCACAATACGTGTAGTATTTCTTGTCCATTATATATTGTACTGTACTACCAGTTTGTCTCCAAGACTCTCTCCTATTATTTGCGCATCTCAGAGGCTTAGCTACGTTTAGTACGATAGGTACCTACCTACTGAAATGCTTTTTGCACTTCTGCCTATATTTTTTTATGATGGATTTAATTTTGTAATGAACTCAAACCTTTATTATCGGCTCTTCTATAATACTCCTATCGCAGAACACACTTCAATTAATGACTGAGATGGCCGATGGGTTCCCTTGATGTGGTAAACATGGCTGCCAAGGGCCCTGGTTCCATCTCCTCCTTCCCGTTATAGCAACTCCAAACTTCGCTAATGTTTGATCTGGTGCAATTTAACTGATCCTACTCTAAGGCTGACTGAGACTGGAGACAAGCTGATATTGATACTGACATGAACCCTCTGCCTGGGATTAATACTTTCACTGGTACTGTGAGACTGATACTGAGACACGAGAAGACTGATACTCTGAAAATGTGTCACTGACACTGATGTGAACCCTCTACCTGGGATTCACCTTGCTTTCAACCTAAAGAGCCCCAAATTTGTGCTCTGAATAGACCACACAAAATGCAACGTCGCCTTGCGGTCCTCCGCGGCAACTCCACTTGCACTACCGTTTTCACTCGCTCCACCAAAAGAACGTACAAACAATAAAGATATTACAAAAATATACCTACTAACCATATATTTTCTAATTTATTCCAGGAGGTCATGGCGGAGGTGACGAAGTTGGTCAATCCGAAGGTATGAGTTTCGAATCCAAAGGACACGATTGGAGCGGCGGCGCAGGCGTAGAAAGTCAAGGAGGCGGTGAAGGCCTCGGAGCTTATGGAAGCGGCGGTCACGATATGGGAGGTGGTGACTCTGGAAGTGCTAGCTCAGAATATGGTCATGGTGGCTACGAATTTGGAGGTTACTCTGGCGGTCAAGATGCCGGAGGTTACTCTGGTGGTCACGATGCTGGTGCGTCGTCTGGTGGTGGCTACGATCTTGGCAGTTCTGACAGCTACGGAAACTCGATTTCGGGCGAAAGCGGCGGACACGATTTGGGCGGCTACGGAGGTTATGGCGGAGGAGATTTGGGAGGTCATAAAGGCTACGATTAGTTTATTACAAGTCTCGTTTGTAAAACTTTGTTACCTGCATTATTTTCTGCAACTAGTCTGATCTTTGTATAGTTAGTTTTAAGTTAATTTTATTGTTGATTTAATTTTATTTTGTTGACTTTTCTAACTTTTTTTATAAAACGATAAACTAAATGTTTGTTTTATTTCATAAGCTGCTTTTTAAAATTAAAGTTTAGAAGAGCACAATCATCCCTCACGGATGCTAGAAATGATTGCAACCGTATAACCAACTAGGCTAAGGAATAACACTGCCAACAAGTGCGTAATCGAGGTTTAGACTGCCCGAGTGGATTGCCAAGACTATAGGGAAAAAATTAAAATCTTCTTCCTAACCACCTTTAGTTAAGGACAATCATTCCATTGTGATATCGTCAACGGAAGATCTCTTTGCCAGAAAATTTGCATGCAAATCCACAATGGCAGAGTACTACAGGTACTGCCAAACATTAGTTCTTGCATGGACAACGTTGTATAGACCTGAACATCATGTGGTCCCAACGGCATTTCACTAATTCGTCAAGACTTGTGCACAAGAATTGGCTTCAGCTCTTTGCAAGCTCGAAGCCGATAAGCAATTATCTGACAAACAGTACCTACGGGTTTCGTTCTGAAAGATACCCTATCTACTGGCGTAGGTCAATCATACTTATTTGGAATTCGACTCTCCAGAATTGCAGTATTGGACATATCCAAGGCTTTTAATCCAGTGTGCTGTGGTCGATGGTGTATCTTCTGATACACTGCCTATAGATGCCGGTGTTCCCCACGGCTCAATTCTGTCCCCAACACTGTTTCCTATTTTTATAAATTATTTGTTTAATGTGACAAGATACCCTATATACAGCTTCGCCGACGATAGTAGTCTGATGGCATCTTTCTCTCTTGACAAACCGCTTACTGCAGCCACAAGCCTTGCTCGAGAACAGATTCACTATATCGACAGTTGTCTTGACACAATTACCAACTGATGGGTTCTTAACAACCTAGTCAAATTCAATGCTTCCAAAATTCAAGCAACTTTCAAATAAGAATTCTTCCGCCAATGATAACCCAGTTTTAAGGGTATCAGGACAAAACTTTTTGACCTTTTCATCAATCCCTCAGTATCTCTTCTTGAGGTGACCGCATCGCTCAACTTGTCTTGGCATGACCATGTATCTTGGATCGCCAAAACCACTTCACAAAAATAAGGTTTTTTGTTTCGTGCAAAAAACTTCTTTACTTCTGAACCTCTCTTCCTCCAAGGCTCAAGCTCAAATCAGACTATGTGCACTAACAAACAGGAGCAAAATAATTATTTGCTTTGCACGCACAACAATAACTTATACTTTTGTTATTGGCTGCAAGCTTTGACCATTCCCGAAGAAGTACCTAAAGTGAAGCGTTTATTGCATGAACTGTCACATTCCACATTCTGTCTGTCCTTGCTCCAACACGTTCGATTGTGTTTGGCTCGCTTCTACCGCCCTACTGAATGAAATGGCTTCTGCTAATGTCAGAATAGGCTCCCTAAGAAGCTTCTCCTGTAGGTACCTCTTCACTAAGAGCACCAATCACAATCTTTTCTCTTATCAATAAAAGACGACTATACGAGTTAAAAGGCTAGTGAGTTTGGCATTTACTGCAGCTGGGAAAGAAATGCAGGAATGGATGGCAGTATCTGCGTTCACTGATGGTCTCAGAGAGTCCAAAATCCAGGAAAACCTGAGAATGTCTAAGTTCAGACAAAATAGCGAAGCACTTGTCCGAGCATACGAGCAGTATCCATTGAAGACCCAAAGGATAAACAATCGTCAAAAGAGGATGGTAGTTTCAAAAATGTTATGAGTGAATTCATGGAGAAAATGGAGCAACTCAATATTTCTAGAAGGTAGACAAATGGGAAATGACTCCAGACAAACACCAACACCGAGAAACCGAATAGAATGTTACCGATGTCATAAGGTTGGACATAATGCAATGTGCTCCCCATCTAGGGATCGTTCCCAACGCTTTTCAAGATCTAGGGACGCCAGCCCTAATAACAGACAGGAACCAACTAGTACGGAGGGGCGGATGCTGGCTAGTAATGAGGAAGCCCCCAGGGTTGTTCACATAAAATCATTGGCAGTCATTACAGGATTGAAATTCGAAGGACAAATTATTGGAGAATTTAAAACAATCACTTTTGATACGGGTGCTGAAATTTCTATAATTAGAAGAACATTAGTCAAGTCTCGGGTAATCAAATCGCTCACTAGAAACCTGTCACTACGAACAGTCACGGGCGAAGCGGCACCAGTTCAAGGAGAAGTTATGGTTGAGCTTATTTTTGGATCTGCCACCTTTAAACACAGAACATCAGTCGCCGATATAGAGGATGATTTTATTTCCGGAATGGATTTGATCGGTCAACATGGTTTCTCTTTCGATCCTTCTATAAACATCCTTAAATTTGGTAATGAAGAATTTGTCCTTACTACACAAGAAGAATCCCAAGCCGTTAAGATCCTGGCCACAAACCCAGTGAGGATTCCTGGAAGTACTGAGAAGATCATTTGCGGAAAATTGGAAACAAACCCTGGGTGCTGTGTTCGACTAACACATAATTTTATTGGAGTTAAACCAGAAAGAGTCCTCGTTGGAAAGACTCTAGTTAGAACAAATGGAGACAGTTGCCAATGTTTCTTCGGAAACAGTAAAAATAAAAGAAGGAAATATCATTGGAACTCTCGAACCAGTGACCTACCAGATAAGCGATATTTTGAAAAATTGAAATTGGATACAGGAGCATTATTATGTACGAGCCCAGTGTCCTATCCCGATCAGAAAAGCATGAAGAGTTTGGACACAGATGCAAGCAACACCATCAGTGGCGTATGTACCATAAGGCCATGGGGGTCATGGCCCGGGGGCATTTTTGTATCGAGCGTCCAGCAACCCGCATTCGGGGTACCCGACCTCGGCACGTATCAAGCGCACGGTAGTACGAAAATCACTCGGACTACCGTATGCTCGATACTCGCGACTCGCGCCTACAGTCTCGAATATCTTTTTGAGTTTTCCTGGCTCCTCACCATCAAGCTACTTGATAATATGTATTAGTTTAATTTTGGTTCTGATAGTCAAATCCTAAAGCAATTTTAATTCTAGTAGTTCACTAAGTGGAATGAAAAGTAGCAAAAAACTTAAAGATTAATAAGATTTTGCTATTTGCCTAGTTATTTGATGCTGTCTCTAACAAACTATCCCAAACTAACCCTAAGGCTGTTCTTACCTTAACCTTTTGCTCAGCTCCAATTTGGGTTAATTTTGGTTAGTTTTGTTACTTAGAGACAGCATCATAAATAATTATTTTCTCCAAACGTCAAAAAAACGCCACTTTGTTAACCTCTATCAAGATGTCAGAAATTTAATTTCAATGCTGGTAGACAAATCGAGCAGGTTAACACCTGTCGAGGTGGTAGAAATTTTATTTCTATGCTGCTTGGCAACCCCAGCGGCAGCAAAAGTACTTTTAGTGCCGCTGGAGCGGCAGCAAAAGTACTTTTAGTGCCGCTCGTACTTTTACTGCCGCTTAACCATTCAGTTACCCCGAGCTTACCCCATTTGTTTGGAGAAAAAATAGCGTGTTGCATACGGAGTAGAAGCACTTTTTTGTGCTTCAGCAGCATTGCAAGCCTCACTACGTTCGGCTCGCAAACCTACTGCTTCAGCACAAAAAAGTAAAGCTTCTACTCCTAATACAACAATATACTATTTACATCTGCCTGAATCTAATCTCCGCATTTGTCAAATTACGATTGCAGGTATACAAATCCCTAAGTAAATAGCAAAAATCTTGTTAATTTTTACCTGCTTTAAAAATTCGATTTTTAAATCGTTCTAACATATTTTAAAAAATAGACGTTTTTTTTTTTGGAGAAAAAAGTATACAGATGATAATGTCATTGGAAGAATGGCTAACACAATAATTCAAAAATGTTTTCGAAAAAACGTGAAAGTGGCCTATTCTATCTCGCCATGGTATTCTATTCATGGTAAGGTTATGTAGATAAAACATAATTTTGCTCTTACTTATTCCCTTACCTCGACTTCCTGCTTAGTCTTGAAATTAGTTCGTATTTCGCTGGAATCGACAATGTGGTACATATAATTTTCTGGCCAGTGCATAATAAATGATAAACAATTAAAAAAAAAAAAACTGAATTGTTCGACGCCGATCCATAATTTCGCGGAAGACTAGTATCAAGCGTACGGTAGCTTGACAATCGATCGGGAAATCAGACGCTCGTTATGACACAGGCCTCGGTTAATACGACGTTACCCGAATGCGGTATACTGGGCGCTCGATACAAAAATGCGGCCCGGGGCGGTAGGGCTGCGAGGGGCGGCACAAGCCGCGTCCCCAGAACTTAGGAATGCTATCTTAACAACAAAGCAACAAAATGACTTTGAGGCAACTCAACAATTATTATTTAATAAGGAAAAAAATTTGAAGGAAGCATTTTCTCATACAGAAATAGTATTAACGTATGATTCTATGCACTGCAGTAAACTTTGACTTCCAGTGTTTCTCTTTTTGTCAAAATGTTTTTTCATTATTTAATTTTTGTTTTGTTAAATTATAGGGCGGCAAACCTGATAGGCCCAGGGCGCAAAATTTTAAAATACGCCACTGAACACCATTGGAGCTGTCCTTTCACAAATCCAAAATTCACAAGAGCATGTCGTAGAGTACTACAGCAGAACTTTATCAAAGCCGGAACGAAATCATAGGGAACTTTACTGAAAAATTAAATTGATTATTGTTTATTGCAAACTGTAGGAATTCGAAAAAAAATCTATATCTACGTTTTTTTCTATTTTGACCAAATATGACTATTCTTGAAGTTATACAAATATTAAGTTTTGTTTATATAGATATACTGAGCAAGGGTGACGTCATAGAGTATGAAAAATAATCACATTTCAAAGCGTTGTATCTCTGTCAATTTTTGTCTAACAAGAAAAAGAAAAAACACGGGCCGGCCTATTTTTCAGCGACTAATGGAATCAGCAATAAAAAAAATTGAGTCAAGTTGTACCCCATTGCAGCAATATGATATCCAAATTAAACATAGACCTGGAAACCTGCATAAAAATGCTGATG